TCCATGCTCAGTACAGTGTGCACTCCATACTTGGTCGGGGCTCCCTTTTTGCATGAATTGATGCGAACGTGGCATGGAATCGATCAGCCTGTGGCACTGCTGAGGTGGTCTGGAAGCCCAGGTTGCTTTGATCGCACCTTCAGCTTGTCTCCATTGTTGGGTCTGGTGTCTCATCTTCCTCCTAACAACACCTCACAGGTTCTCTATGGGGTTTGGTCAACTAAGTTTGCTGGCCAATCGAGCACGGTGATACCTTGATCATTAAACCAGGGATTGGTACGTTTGGCAGTGTGGGAGGTGCCAAGTCCTGCTGGAAAATGAAATCGGCATCTCCTCCATAAAGCTGGTCTGCAGAGGGAAGCATGAAGTGCTCTAGAATTTCCGGGTAGAGGGCCGAGCTGACTTTGGACTTGATAAAACACAGTGGACCAACACCAGTAGATGACATGGCTCCCCGAATCATCACCGACTGTGGAAACATCAAACTGGACCTCGTGCAACTTTGGATTCTGTGCCTCTCCACCCTTCCTCCAGAATCTGGGACCTTAATTTCAAAATGCAAAATGTACTACCATCCAAAAGAGGGCTTTGGACCACTGAGCAACAGTCCGGTCCTTTTTTTCTCCTTGGCTCGGGTAAGACAAGGAATGTGACAGTTGTAGCCCATGTCCTGGATACCATTGTGTGTGGTGGCTCTTGAAGCACTGACACCACCCGTAGTCCACTCCTTGCGAATCTCCCCCAAATTCTCGAATGGCCTTTCCTTCACAATCCTCTCAAAGCTGCGGTCATCCCTGTTGCTTGTGCACCTTTTTTCTACCACACTTTTTCCTTCCACTCCTTCCATTAACATGCTTGAATACAGCACTTTGTGAACAGCCAGCTTCTTTAGCAATGACCTTTTTGTGACTTACCCTCCTTGTGGAGGGTGTCAGTGACTGTCTTCTGGATAACTGTCATGTCAGCAGTCTTCCCCATGACTGTGTAACCTACCGAACCCGACTGACAGACCATTTAACCATTAGCCGCCCGGCCAATGGCCGTTTGGCAGCTTGAAATGTGCTCCTGTATTCCGGGTGCACGCCATTTGGTGTGCTCCCGCACATGCGCAGTTTGCGCGGTTGCAGAGCGACGCAGCAGTGCGATCTGTCACCGCCCGTGCACCTCGGACACGGCCGATGACAGATCCGAGTACCGGCTCCCGTTGCCGGTACCATGTGACCTGCTGTGACCAATCACAGCAGGTCACATGACAGTTGTATACAATGGATGGCTTCATTCATGATGCCATCCATTGTATACTAGTGCCTAGCTGTGAATGGTCACAGCGATCACATGCACATGTCATGTGATTAGCTGTGACCAAATCACAGCTAAGCAAAAAAAAAAAAAAAAAAAAAAAAAAGCTGAATGAATCGATGTCATTCAGCTAAATGCTTGTTTATAGCAAAGTAATTCTTTGCTATAAGCAAATTGTGTAAAAAAAAAAAAAAAAAAAAAAATACTGATCACTTCCCCAAAGTAGTACAATGTTACTATGGTAACATTGTACTTTTTTGGTCATAGTAAAATATGAAAAAAAATCTTAAAAAAATAAAAAAAAATGTAATAAAAAAATTAAATATAAAAAAAAAAAAAAAAAAAAAATATATATATATATATATTTTTTTTTTTTCATACTGTCACCAGTCAGTGTCGCTGTTCACCGCCGCCAGTTATATGATGACGCTGTACTGCACTGGTGACAGTATGTAAAAAAAAAAATAGTGAAAATAATTTTTTTTAATTTTTTCATTTTCCGAAAAATTATGACAAAAAAAATACAACTTCAAAAAACTCGCCATGCCTCTTATGAAGTACGTCGGACTGTCTACTCTGCAAAAAGGGGTCATTTGGGGGATATCTGTACTGTCCTGACATTTGGGGGATATCTGTACTGTTCTGACATTTGGGGGATATCTGTACTGTCCTGACATTTGGGGGATATCTGTACTGTTCTGATATTTGGGGGATATCTGTACCGTCCTGACATTTGGGGGATATCTGTACCGTTCTGACATTTGGGGGATATCTGTACCGTCCTGACATTTGGGGGATGTCTGTACTGTCCTGACATTTGGGGGATATCTGTACTGTTCTGACATTTGGGGGATATCTGTACCGTTCTGACATTTGGGGGATATCTGTACCGTCCTGACATTTGGGGGATATCTGTACCGTCCTGACATTTGGGGGATATCTGTACCGTCCTGACATTTGGGGGATATCTGTACTGTCCTGACATTTGGGGGATATCTGTACCGTTCTGACATTTGGGGGATATCTGTACCGTCCTGACATTTGGGGGATATCTGTACCGTCCCGACATTTGGGGGATATCTGTACCGTCCCGACATTTGGGGGATATCTGTACCGTCCCGACATTTGGGGGATATCTGTACCGTCCTGACATTTGGGGGATATCTGTACTGTCCTGACATTTGGGGGATATCTGTACCGTCCTGACATTTGGGGGATATCTGTACCGTCCTGACATTTGGGGGATATCTGTACCTGTCCTGACATTTGGGGGATATCTGTACCGTCCTGACATTTGGGGGATATCTGTACCGTCCTGACATTTGGGGGATATCTGTACTGTCCTGACATTCTTGGACCTCAAGAAATTAGATTGGCTGTCAGTACTTCAGGATTGATCAATATTCAGATCTATCCCATAGTTTGTGAACTCTATAACTTTCCTACAAACTAAATAATACATCCTAATTTGGGTTATTTTCACCAAAGACATGGAGCAGAATACATCTCGGCCTAAATGTATGAAGAACCATTATTTATTTGTATAAACTTTTATAACAGAAACAAAGAAAAATGTGTTTTTTTTTTTTCAAAATTTTTGGTCTTTTTTTGTTAATTTAGCAAAAAATAAAAACCCCGGCGGTGATTAAATACCACCAAAAGAAAGCTCTAGTTGTGTGAAGAAAATGATAAAATTTTAGTTTGGGTACAATGTTGTATGACCGCGCAATTGTCATTCAAAGTGTGAGAGCGCTGAAACGTGAAAAATGGCCTGGGGGGGGGGGGAAGGGGTAAAATTGCCCGGTATTGAAACGGTTAAAAGCTCAGGAAGCCTTTGAGTTTAATTAGCTGAATAAAGAGTGACACCAAGAGCCTACAATATTGAGCTTTTTCACCACAGCTGCAGGCCATAATCATCCAAATAGAAAAAAATGCTTGATGGATGTCACTCTGTGTGTAATGAATCTATAGAATATACGAGTTTCACTTTTTGAATTTAATTACTGAAATTAATTTGTTGATTATAATCTAATTTATTGAGATGCCCCTGTATCTAACAATGAACATTAGAAATAGAAAACACCTTTATTCTGCCCTTTTTACGTATAATTCTGACTTTTATTTATTTTACAGGTGGATTATTGAACCATATTCTTGGTCATCATAAATACGACAAAGTTTTGGATGCTCTTCAGCGTTGATCCAGCCTCAAAGGACGACAGCAGAGAAGTTCTTTTGGATGCTCTTCAGCGTTGATCCAGCCTCAAAGGACGACAGCAGAGAAGTCCTTTTGGATGCTCTTCAGCGTTGATCCAGCCTCAAAGGACGACAGCAGAGAAGTCCTTTTGGATGCTCTTCAGCGTTGATCCAGCCTCAAAGGACGACAGCAGAGAAGTCCTTTTGGATGCTCTTCAGCGTTGATCCAGCTTCAAAGGACGACAGCAGAGAAGTTCTTTTGGATGCTCTTCAGCGTTGATCCAGCCTCAAAGGACGACAGCAGAGAAGTCCTTTTGGATGCTCTTCAGCATTGATCCAGCCTCAAAGGACACAGCAGAGAAGTCCTTTTGGATGCTCTTCAGCGTTGATCCAGCTTCAAAAAGGACAGCAGCAGAGAAGTCTTTTTGGATGCTCTTCAGCATTGATCCAGCTTCAAAGGACAACAGCAGAGAAGTCGTTTTAGATGCTCTTCAGCGTTCATCCAGCCTCAAAGGACGACAGCAGAGAAGTCCTTTTGGATGCTCTTCATCATTGATCCAGCATCAAAGGACGACAGCAGAGAAGTCCTTTTGGATGCTCTTCAGCGTTGATCCAGCTTCAAAGGACGACAGCAGAGAAGTCCTTTTGGATGCTCTTCAGCGTTGATCCAGCTTCAAAGGACAACAGCAGAGAAGTTCTTTTGGATGCCCTTCAGCATTGATCTAGCTTCAAAGGACAGCAGCAGAGAAGTCCTTTTGGATGCCCTTCAGCATTGATCCAGCTTCAAAGGACGACAGCAGAGAAGTCCTTTTGGATGCTCTTCAGCATTGATCCATCTTCAAAGGACGACAGCAGAGAAGTTCTTTTGGATGCCCTTCAGCATTGATCTAGCTTCAAAGGACAGCAGCAGAGAAGTCCTTTTGGATGCCCTTCAGCATTGATCCAGCTTCAAAGGACGACAGCAGAGAAGTCCTTTTGGATGCTCTTCAGCATTGATCCATCTTCAAAGGACGACAGCAGAGAAGTCCTTTTGGATGCTCTTCAGCATTGATCCAGCCTCAAAGGACGACAGCAGAGAAGTCCTTTTGGATGCTCTTCAGCATTGATCCAGCCTCAAAGGACGACAGCAGAGAAGTCCTTTTGGATGCTCTTCAGCTTTGATCCAGCTTCAAAGGACGACAGCAGAGAAGTCCTTTTGGATGCTCTTCAGCTTTGATCCAGCTTCAAAGGACGACAGCAGAGAAGTCCTTTTGGATGCTCTTCAGCGTTGATCCAGCTTCAAAGGACGACAGCAGAGAAGTCCTTTTGGATGCTCTTCAGCGTTGATCCAGCTTCAAAGGACAACAGCAGAGAAGTAATTTTAATGTTCTGTAAGTGACTACAGCTTTATAGTAAAGTCCAACCCATTCCTCCCCAAGGAACGTCATTTCAGAAGATATTTCATATTTGGAAAGTGATGAAGGTTTTACTGTGAAGGGGAAGGATTATCACACATCAGGTTCACAATGGAGGAAAAGCCATTTCAATGTTCTGAATGTGACAAAACGTTTGCACAGAAGAGTAATCTTAACCTACACATGAGGATCCACACTGGAGAGAAGCCATTTGAGTGTCCTGAATGTGACAAAACTTTTACGCAGAAGGGTAATCTTGACATACATATGAGCATTCACACCGGAGAGAAGCTGTATCAGTGTTCAGATTGTGGCAAAGATTTTAGAGTGAAGGCAAGTCTGATCACACACCAGAGGATCCACACTGGAGAGAAGCCATATCAGTGCTCAGAATGCGGTAACGTTTTCACGTCAAAGTCAGAGCTTAGCAAACACCAGAGGATTCACACCGGAGAGAAGCCGTATCAGTGTTCCGAATGTGACAAAGCTTTTATAACCAAGATAAGACTCGACAAACACCAGAGGATTCACACCGGAGAGAAGCCGTTTCGGTGCGCTCATTGTGACAAAGCTTTTACAAGGAGGGATCACCTTGTCCAACACGAGAGGGTCCACACTAAAGAGACGCCATTTCAGTGTTTGACGTGCAAAAAAGATTTTTTAGACAAGTCCAGCCTTATCAGACACCAGAGGATCCATGCTGGAGAGAAGCCACACCAGTGTTCTGAATGTGATAAAGCTTTCGTGAGGAGGGAACACCTCATCAAACACCAGAGGACTCACACTGGAGAGAGGCCATATCAATGTTCTAAATGTGATAAAGCTTTTACACAGAAGTCCAATCTTGACTCCCACCAGTGGGTTCACATTAAAAAGATGCCATAGCCGTGTTGAGAATCTGACAAAGCTTTTAAAACCCAGAGAGGGCTCATGACACACCACAGTGTCCACATTGGAGACTATTTTGACAATTTTTTGGAGAATCATCAACAACTATTTTTCTTATGATTCTCATCTTTACCCTTTTTTTTTTTTTATTATTTTTTTTTTTTTTATGGAGGCTTTATTAAACATGTAATGAATTTGCATCGTTCGCTGACTGAGCTGTGTTCTCAAGTGTTTCCTTCATTGCCAGATCCCGGGCTGATACCATAACACCGCCTCAGTACCAGGTACTGGATGTGGTCAAGTGGCATGTTGGTAAGCCTCAATGGGAGAGACCTTTCTGGGTTCACATGACCATTGCTATATCAGTCAAGCTGGAGAACTTCAGCCAAGCCCAACCCTCCCTTTATATGTTCCACCTCCCCTCCCACTGTCACGCCTCCTTTCCCACATTTCACCTCCTCTCACGGATGACTGCTTTGCAGACAGGTCTGCAGCTGGGACACCAGATAGGAAGAAGTCTCAGTTCAATGAGAAAGCAACTTCTTCAGCTGGTGTAGGCCTTCCAACATCGAGTTGCTGCTGTTTTATGGGACGCATTCAAAAGTGCCTTCTAAGCTGGCCACTTGTGTTCCATCTAGTTCTGCCACAAGTCTGAGGGATTCCATCCTGAGAAGATTGGATGTCTTTGTTGTTCTATTTGTCTGTCCAGATATCACTCCTCTCCATAGAATAATCACACCGCACAACTGCAAGAGATCTGAACTTCCAACATTGAGTTGCTGCTGTTTTATGGGACGCATTCAAAAGTGCCTTCTAAGCTGGTTACTTGTGTTCCATCCAGTTCTGCCACAAGTCTGAGGGATTCCATCCTGAGAAGATTGGATGTCTTTGTTGTTCTATTTGTCTGTCCAGATATCACTCCTCTCCATAGAATAATCACACAGCACAACTGCAAGAGATCTGAACTTCCAACATCGAGTTGCTGCTGTTTTATGGGACGCATTCAAAAGTGCCTTCTAAGCTGGTTACTTGTGTTCCATCCAGTTCTGCCACAAGTCTGAGGGATTCCATCCTGAGAAGATTGGATGTCTTTGTTGTTCTATTTGTCTGTCCAGATATCACTCCTCTCCATAGAATAATCACACAGCACAACTGCAAGAGATCTGAACTTCCAACATCGAGTTGCTGCTGTTTTATGGGACGCATTCGAAAGTGCCTTCTAAGCTGGTTACTTGTGTTTCATCCAGTTCTGCCACAAGTCTGAGGGATTCCATCAGGAGAAGATTGGATGTCTTTGTTGTTCTATTTGTCCAGATATCACTCCTCTCCATAGAATAATCACACAGCACAACTGCAAGAGATCTGAACTTCCAACATCGAGTTGCTGCTGTTTTATGGGACGCATTCGAAAGTGCCTTCTAAGCTGGCCACTTGTGTTCCATCTAGTTCTGCCACAAGTCTGAGGGATTCCATCAGGAAAGATTTGATGTCTTTGTTGTTCTATTTCTCTGTCCAGATATCACTCCTCTCCATAGAATAAATCACAACTGCAAGAGATCTGAGCTTACAAACCTGCTGCCGAGTTTTATGCGGATATATTCCTTCAGGTTCGTCTGGGGGGCTCACATTTTTCTGATTGGGCTTCTCTTTAATGATTGAGTGGACAGATCTGGGTTTTTTTTTTTTTTTTTTTTTTTGCTGAACTTTGCAAAGAACATTTTTTGACCCTGAAAATGTTAAAATGTTGGCCTTAAAGTGTAACTATGGGCAACATTTAATGTTTCCACTTTTTCTCTTGATGGATCAGGAAATGGTCAGTGGAGACCCAACTCCCCCCTTCCCAGGTATCTGTGCAGCAGCAGATCACTTCTAATGGTGATCTACTGCTGGGTGAAACCAAAAGTGATATACAGTCAGGTCCATAAATATTGGGACATTGACACAATTCTAACATTTTTGGCTCTATACACCACAATGGATTTGAAATGAAACGAACAAGATGTGCTTTAACTGCAGACTGTCAGCTTTAATTTGAGGGTATTTACATCCAAATCAGGTGAACGGTGTAGGAATTACAACAGTTTGCATATGTGTCTCCCACTTGTTAAGGGACCAAAAGTAATGGGACAGAATAATAATCATAAATCAAACTTTCACTTTTTAATACTTGGTTGCAAATCCTTTGCAGTCAATTACAGCCTGAAGTGTGGAACGCATAGACATCACCAGACGCTGGGTGTCATCCCTGGTGAGGCTCTGCCAGGCCTTTACTGCAACTGTCTTCAGTTCCTGCTTGTTTCTTGGGGCATTTTCCCTTCAGTTTTGTCTTCAGCAAGTGAAATGCTCCATCGGATTCAGGTCAGGTGATGGACTTGGCCATTGCATAACATTCCACTTCTTTCCCTTAAAAAACTCTTTGGTGTCTTTTGCAGTCTGCTTTGGGTCATTGTCCATCTGCACTGTGAAGCGTCCAATGAGTTGTGAAGCATTTGGCTGAATATGAGCCGATAATATTGCCCGAAACACTTCAGAATTCATCCGGCTGCTTCTGTCAGCAGTCACATCATCAATAAATACAAGAGAAGCAGTTCCATTGGCAGCCATACATGCCCACGCCATGACACTACCACCACCATGATCACTGATGAGGTGGTATGCTGAGGACCATGAGCAGTTCCTTCTCCATACTCTTCTCTTCCCATCACTCTGGTACAAGTTGATGTCGGTCTCATCTGTCCATAGGATGTTGTTCCAGAACTGTGAAGGCTTTTTTACATGTCGTTTGGCAAACTCTAATCTGGCCTTCCTGTTTTTGAGGCTCACCAATGGTTTCCATCTTGTGGTGAACCCTCTGTATTCACTCTGGTGAAGTCTTCTCTTGATTGGTGACTTTGACACACATACACCTACCTCCTGGAGAGTGTTCTTGATCTGGCCAACTGTTGTGAAGGGTGTTTTCTTCACCAGGGAAAGAATTCTTCGCTCATCCCCCACAGTTGTTTTCCGTGGTCTTCCGGGTCTTTTGGTGTTGCTGAGCTCACCGGTGCGTTCCTTCTTTTTAAGAATGTTCCAAACAGTTTGTTTTGGCCACGCCTAATGTTTTTGCTATCTCTCTGATGGGTTTGTTTTGTTTTTTCAGCCTAATGATGGCTTCACTGATAGTGACAGCTCTTTGGGTCTCATCTTGAGAGTTGACAGCAACAGATTCCAAATGCAAATAGCACACTTGAAATGAACTCTGGACCTTTTATCTGCTCATTGTAATTGGGATAATGAGGGAATAACACACACCTGGCCATGGAACAGCTGAGAAGCCAATTGTCCCATTACTTTGGGAGGCACATATGCAAACTGTTGTAATTCCTACACCGTTCACCTGATTTGGATGTAAATACCTTCAAATTAAAGCTGACAGTCTGCAGTTAAAGCACATCTTGTTCGTTTCATTTCAAATCCATTGTAGTGGTGTATAGAGCCAAAAATGTTAGAATTGTGTCGATGTCCCAATATTTATGGACCTGACTGTAGCTGCAGGAAGAGGAAGAACAGAGCTAGAACAGATCTGTCCCCACCCTGTCCTAATGTGAGTGACCTGACACCACTTGTGACATCACTACGCTCCCAATGTCCGCAGATCGTTGAAGCTTCCTGTTTTATTCTGCATGTAGAGCGATCTATAGAAGCATTGAAAGGCCAAGAGCTGATCATTTCAGGGCTTAGGCCTGGATCCCGGCTCTCAAAGACCTGAAGGAACCCACAGGAGCTGCTGAGATGGGCGCCATTTTTAAATGGCAATGGGGACTTGGAAAGTTATTCTAGTAGTCCTTATGTTTCAAGTCTCCTTTGTCACATTCTTAACACCGGTTGACCCTGTCAGTAGTTCTGGGTTTTTTTTCTACTTCCTGTAGGAGGCCATGCTGTCCATCAAAGTTGGCAGTTGAAGGAGCTGGAAAAACCAAATAAAAACTGGGTGGTGCTTACAACGCTCAGCATGTTTTTAGACATAATAACAAAATAACCTCTGTTGCTGTTATTGCTTTAGAAGTGTTGGCTGAAGTTGAGCTTTATTTTTATATATATATACACACACACATATATATTACACACACACACACACATATATATTACACACACACACACACACATATATATTACACACACACACAGGTGTACCTCAGTTTATGAATTTAATACATTCTGCAGCACTTTTCAGATTGCAAAAAATTTGTAAACCCAAATGCGGTTTTCCCATAGGAATGCATTGAAAACCAATTAATCCAGTCCGGCGGTCAGAAAAAAAAAAAAAAAAAGACTTTTATCTGTTCAAAACTCTTTATAAAGTGCACTTTAAAGGCATAAATACTGTACAGGGTCATGGTTTAAAAAAAAAAATTAAAAATCGTAGATGCATTGAAAACCAATTTTTGTTCATACTGCGAAAAAAAATTGTAAACTGAGGCATTATTTTCAATGGATTTTCATTCGTAAACCAAAAATTACATTAACCGAGGTGTGTGTGTGTGTAATAAATTAAGAAAAAAAATATATATATAAATTTTTTTTTTTTAAAGCACCCACTGCCTTTTTATATCTAGACAGGGCTATCATTTGGTGGGATTTACATCACCACCGGATTTTATATTAGAAAAAAAAAAATTGTGTGTGTGTGTGTATATATATATATATATATATATATATATATATATATATAGTGGGGCAAAAAAGTATTTAGTCGCCACCAATTGTACAAGTTCTCCCACTTACAGAGATGAGGGAGGCCTGTAATTGGCATCATAGGAAGACCTCAACTATGAGAGACAAAATGAGAAAACAAATCCAGACAATCTCATTGGCTGATCTGGAAAGAATTTATTTGCAAATTTTGGTGGAAAATAAGTATTTGGTGAATATGAAAAGTTCATGTCAATACTTTGTTATATATCCTTTGTTGGCAATGACAGAGTCAGACGTTTCCTGGAAGTCCTCACAAGGTTGGCACACACTGTTGCTGGTATGTTGGCCCATCCTCCATGCAGATCTCCTCCTCCATGCAGATCTCCTCTAGAGCAGTGATGTTTTGGGGGCTGTCGCTGGGCAACACGGACTTTCAACTCCCTCCAAAGGTTTTCTATGGGGTTGAGATCTGGGGCCTGGCTAGGCCACTCCAGGACCTTGAAATGCTTCTTACGAAGCCACTCCTTCGTTGCCCCGGGCAGTATGTTTGGGATCATGTCATGTTGGAAGACCCAGCCACGTTTCATCTTCAATGCCCTTGCTGATGGAAGGAGGTTTGCACTCAAAATCTCACGATACATGGCCCCATTCATTCTGTCCTGTACATGGATCAGTCGTCCTGGTCCCTTTGTGGAAAAACAGCCGCAAAGCATGATGTTGCCACCCCCATGCTTCACAGTAGGTATGGTGTTTCTTTATGGATGCAACTCAGCATTCTCTCTCCTCCAAACACGACGAGTTGTGTTTCTACCAAACAGTTCTATTTTGGTTTCATCTGACCATAATGACATTCTCCCAATCCCTCTTCTGGATCATCCAAATGCTCTCTAGCAAACTTCAGACGGGCCCCGGGACATGTACTGGCTTAAGCAGGGGGACACATCTGGCACTGCAGAGGATCTGAGTCCCTGGTGGCGTAGTGTGTTACTGATGGTAGCCTTTGTTACGTTGGTCCCATCTCTCTGCAGGCAATTCACTACGGTCCCCCCGTGTGGTGTCCTGGGATTTTTTGCTCACCGTTCTTGTGATCATTTTGACCCCACAGGGTGAGATCTTGCGTGGAGCCCCAGATGGAGGGGAGATTATCAGTGGTCTTGTACGTCTTCCATTTTCTAATTATTGCTCCCACAGTTGATTTGTTCACACCAAGCTGCTTGCCTATTGCAGATTCAGTCTTCCCAGCCTGGTGCAGGTCTACAATTTTGTTTCTGGTGTCCTTCGACGGCTCTTTGGTCTTCCCCATAGTGGAGTTTGGAGTGTGACTGTTTGATGGTTTGTAGGCGACCAAATACTTATTTTCCACCATAATTGCAAATAAATTCTTTCCAGATCAGCCAATGAGATTGTCTGGATTTGTTTTCTCATTTTGTCTCTCATAGTTGAGGTCTCCCTATGATGCCAATTACAGGCCTCTCTCATCTTTGTAAGTGGGAGAACTTGCACCATTGGTGGGGACTAAATACTTTTTTGCCCCACTGTGTATATATATATATATATATCAATCAATTTTTTTTTCTAAATATAAAACCCAGTGGTGATGTAAATCCCACCAAATGATAGCCCTGTCTAGATATAAAAAAGGCAGTGGGGTGCTCTTCAGCCTTGACTAATACTCGTAGTCCACAACGTATTCGGCTCCATTTCTGCGTCCAGAATACAAATCTGTATATAATATTCTGTGTGAAGGTTTCTGGTCTCCAGACGGCGGGGTAAATATATGAAATGTGACCGTGCTGATGTTCTTCTTCAGCCCCCCCCGATTCCAGGACGGTACAAATCACACATTTTTGGAAAGGTATGAAATTAGGCGGAATAATGATTTTATTTGAAGTTGTCATTTTTTTGTTTGCTGCAATTTTTGGAAAATGAAGAAAGTAAATAAAATGTGATTTTACTGCACAAAGCTGTCGCTGTTCTCCTCCCACCCAGCACAGGCATACGTACGATTGCACCCCGAAACACATTCTTCTCCTCCTCCCGAGTGTGGGGGGATACCACGTGTGGGAAATGGGTTTGCTGTCTAGGTGCATGGAGGGGCTCACAGTCCAGGCTGGGGGGGGGGGAGGGGTGTACATTGTGCATCTGATTTCCTATCACACTTCCTGAGACCCCCGAAGTGCCAGAATCGGAGTAACGCCCACAAAATGACCCCATTATACAAAATCGATCCTCCGCTGTATTTATAGTCCACCTTCTGAACAAGAATAATAAATGTACATTTTTAGGTTTAAAGCTTCATTGGAGATAAGAAGACGGCAGCCAATCAGACTGTCGGGATTTGCAGTTCATTCATCCACAGAACACTGCGAATGAATGATGCGGACACGTGGGAGGAGCCTCGCACGGCCGCTCTGTTTACAAAATCTGACCGCTAGTATGAGGTGACTTCTGCAGCCAGGGCAACCATCAGAAATTGTGGGACCCCTTACACAGTTTTAGGCCTGGGTTCCCCACTGGGCCTGACCACCAACCTTTCCTAGGCCCCTCCCACTGGCTAACCCACTGAATCTGCCCACTAGTGGTCCAACCAAATCTGCCCTCTTTCCACCCCACTGAGTCCTCCAGTGCGCCCACTTTTATTTTCATACTCTTACAACTTAATATATCCTCCATCCCATGTTCTCCCCTGCTCCCATCTCCTCCATGTTCTCCCCCCCAGTCCCATCTTCTCAATGTTTCTCCTCCTCCAGTCCCATCTTCTCAATGTTCTCCTCCAGTCCCATCTCCCCCCTTGTTCTCCGCCAGTCCCATCTCCCCCCATGTTCTCCTCCGCCAGTCCCATCTCCCCCCATGTTCTCCTCCTTCAGTACCATCTTCCCCATGTTCTCCTCCTTCCAGTCCCATCTCCCCCATGTCCTCCCTCCATTCCCATCTTCTCCATGTTCTCCCCCCCCCCCAGTCCCATCTTCTCCATGTTCTCCCCCCCAGTCCCATCTTCTCCATGTTTCTCCCCCCCAGTCCCATCTTCTCCATGTTCTCCTCCTCCAGTCCCATCTCCCCCCTTGTTCTCCGCCAGTCCCATCTCCCCCATGTTCTCCTCCTCCTTCAGTACCATCTTCCCCATGTTCTCCTTCCAGTCCCATCTCCCCCATGTCCTCCTCCAGTCCCATCTTCTCCATGTTCTCCCCCCCAGTCCCATCTTCTCCACCTCCAGTCCCATCTCCCCCTTGTTCTCCTCCTCCAGTCCCCATCTCCCCCCTTGTTCTCCTCCAGTCCCATCTCTCCCCCCATGTTCTCCTCCTCCTTCAGTACCATCTTCCCCATGTTCTCCTCCTTCCAGTCCCATCTCCCCCATGTCCTCCTCCAGTCCCATCTTCTCCATGTCTCCCCCCCCCAATCCCATCTTCTCCATGTTCTCCTCCTCCAGTCCCATCTCCCCCATGTCCTGCTCCAGTCCCATGTCCTCCTCCTCCAGTCCCATCCCCCCCCCATGTTCTCCTTCTCCTCTAGTCCCATCCCCCCCCCATGTTCTCCTACTCTAGTCCCACCCCCCCATGTTCTCCTCCTCTGGTCCCATCTCCCCCCCCCCCCATGTTCTCCTCCTATGGTCACATCTCTCCCCATGTCCTCCATCCCACCCCCCCCTATATCCTCCTCTAGTCCCATCTCCCCCCATGTTCTCCTCCTCTAGTCCCATCTCCCCCCATGTTCTCCTCCTCTAGTCCCATCTCTCCCATGTTCTCCTCCTCTAGTCCCATCTCTCTCCATGTTTCTCCTCCTCCAGTCCCATCTCCCCCCCCATGTTCTTCTCTAATCCGATCTCCCCTATGTTCTCCTTCTCTTCTAATGCCATCTCCCCCCATGTTCTCTAATCCGCTCCTCCTCCCCTACTCCCGTCTCCTCCTCCTCCAGTCCCAACTCCCCCCATGTTCTCCTCTTCTAGTCCCATCTCCCCCCATGTTCTCCTCCTACTCCCATCTCCTCCTCCTCCAGTCCCATCTCCCCCCCATGTTCTCCTTCTCCTCTAGTCCCATCTCCCCAAATGTCCTCCTACTCCCTTCTCCTCCAGTCCCATCTCCCTCATGTTCTCCTCTTTCATTCTCATCTCTCCCATCCCATGTCCTCCTCCTCCATCCCATGTACTCCTCCATCCCATGTCCTTCTCCATCCTAGAAAAGAATTGCACAGGTTTGTTGTACAGAATATCATACAATTTAATAGACGAAAGAGAAAATTCATACAGAAATAATAAATCGCCATCCTGATGCTGCACTTAGATACTTCAACGGACTCCATCCTGGCATCCAAGGTAATGGCAGGATCATCTGTAGGTGAGGAGGAGGAACAGGGTGCCGTAGTGCTACTCTACACCTGTCAGAAAAAGTAGGGTGATGATGAAGCCTTGGTTGGGGACTCCCCCGTCTCTTTCGTGTTCTCTGATTGTATAGCGTGATCACGGCAGTAAAAAGAGTAGAACATACGTAACTGTTCTGTGAAACTTGTATTTTGGTATGATGTTCCGTTCTCGTCTCTCTCTGAAGTGCTCCTCCATCAACTTCAAGATGCATGAGATGCCTACACAGGGCTTTATGCAGCAAAGGCTGTTAATTCCACGTAAATTCATGGGGAATACATTTCTACCCAGCAGCCACTGCCGTTGCGTCTCTTCCATCGAGTTTTAGGCCGTGACCCCAGAACATCCATGATTTGTCCATTCAATGTCCTGAATTATAGACTCTTGGGGGGCTTACACCAAACAAACAGTAGAATTCTCTCCCTGATCTCCTTGGTCCTGGCCCCGTAGATCATGGGGTTGCACATGGGCGGTATGAGGAGGTAGAGGTTGGCGAGGATGATGTGGACGTGGAGAGGGATGTTGTGTCCAAACCTATGAGTGAAGAAGGAGAAGAGAGCCGGGATGTAGGAGATCAGGATGACGCAGACATGGGGGCCACAGGTGCCCAAGGCCTTCCCACGGGCTTCCCTGGAAGACAGTCTGCAGACGGCCCCGACGATGGCACAGTACGACACCGTGATACACAAAAATATCAACAGCGATCACCAGCAGAGCCACAGTCAGGCCGTAAACCTGGTTGATGGAGGTATCTGAGCAGGATATCTTCACGACCGCCATGTGTTCACAGTACGTGTGCAAGATGATGTTGTTTTGGCAGTAGGACAACCTCCATATCAGGAAGGAAGCTGGAGCCATGAAGGCTGAACCTCGGATTATGGCCACAATTCCGATCTTTGCAATGGTGTCATTAGTGAGGATTGAGGTGTACCTCAGAGGGTGGCAAATGGCGACATATCGGTCAAAGGCCATCGCCAATAGAATAGTGGATTCCATCATGGAGAAGGCGTGGACAAAGAAGAGCTGGGCCAGGCAGGCACTAAAGCCAATCTCTCTGGAGTGGAACCAGAAGATCGAGAGGATTTTAGGGGTGGTGGTTGTGGCCAAAAGCACATCGGCAATGGACAGGGTGGAGAGGAGAAGACACATGGGCTTGTGGAGAGACTCTTCGGACAAAATAATGTAGCATATGGCGATGTTCCCGGAGACAATGAAGACGTACATGATGAACACCGGGATGGAGAACCACATCTGAATGTCCTCCATTCCTGGGACTCCCATCAGGATGAAAACTTCAGGCCGATCGGTCTCGTTCAAGCAGGAGGACATCAAGTGTCTCGGAATGTTCTCCTGACAATGAGAAACCAGAGTGAGATAAACGGGAAGTAGTGATTGGTGTACAATCGTGTCTCTTTGTAATGTACTTCCGTGTGGGTGGAAATATGTTCTCGTGTCCATGGTGTGCGGCAGTGATTGTGCTTTCATGTTTCCCATAAGTCCTAGCAATGTAATCTGTGTGACTTGTCCTGGAACTGACTTCATCTCGTCCAGCAAATGTGCTGATGGCAACCTCAGCCATGGTCTGTACCCCCACTGTGCCCAATATGAGGGGTTCCCACCATCCCTGTGCGGAGTTCCCGGGTCTGTACCCCTGCTGTACCCATTATGAGTGGTTCCCACCATCCTTTTACCGAGTTCTTGGATCTGTACGCCCGCTGTGCCCATTATGAGGGGTTCCCACCATCCCTGTGCTGGGTTCCCGGGTCTGTACCCCTGCTGTGCCCATTATGAGGGGTTCCCACCATCCCTGTGCTGGGTTCCGGGTCTGTACCCCCACTGTGCCCAATATGAGGGGTTCCCACCATCCCTGTGCGGAGTTCCCGGGTCCGTACCCCTGCTGTGCCCATTATGAGGGGTTCCCACCATCCTTTTACCGAGTTCTTGGATCTGTACGCCCGCTGTGCCCATTATGAGGGGTTCCCACCATCCCTGTGCTGGGTTCCCGGGTCTGTACCCCTGCTGTGCCCATTATGAGGGGTTCCCACCATCTCTGTGCTGGGTTCCCGGGTCTGTACCCCTGCTGTGCCCATTATGAGGGGTTCCCACCATCCCTGTGCTGGGTTCCCGGGTCTGTACCCCTGCTGTGCCCATTATGAGGGGTTCCCACCATCCCTGTGTTAAAACAGAGGGGATTGGATCCTCTATATGCTGCCCCTCCTATCCAGGTGTACAGGGGAGCCCCATGTGTCCCCTAAAGAATGGGGATGGAATTGCAATTGTAAGTCCTGGGACCTCTGATAGTTTATAAACATTGATCAGCTGGGAGATAGAGAGATACAAAGTAACGTTGTTTATAAACATCGATCAGATGGGTGATGGAGAAATACAAAGTAACATTGTTTATAAACATCGATCAGACGGGTGATGGAGAAATACAAAGTAACGTTGTTTATAAACATCGATCAGACGGGAGATAGAGAGATACAAAGTAACATTGTTTATAAACATCGATCAGACGGGAGATAGAGATACAAAGTAACATTGTTTATAAACATCGATCAGACGGGAGATAGAGAGATACAAAGTAACATTGTTTATAAACATCGATCAGACGGGAGATAGAGAGATACAAAGTAATGTTGTTTATAAACATCGATCAGACGGGAGATGGAGAGATGCAAAGTAACGTTGTTTATAAACATCGATCAGACGGGAGATAGAGAGATACAAAGTAACATTGTTTATAAACATCGATCAGACGGGAGATAGAGAGATACAAAGTAACATTGTTTATAAACATCGATCAGACGGGAGATGGAGAGATACAAAGTAACATTGTTTATAAACATCGATCAGACGGGAGATAGAGATACAAAGTAACGTTGTTTATAAACATCGATCAGACGGGAGATAGAGAAATTCGATTCGGCTGATTCGGCGAATTCCAGTGTGAAATTCGATTCGATGCGAATTTTTTCTCCGCTACGAAGATGACTTATTTAAAGGGTTTCTAGGCTTCAGAGAGCCTTTAAATTAGTGCAGAACACTGTACCTTTAATTTAAATGCCCTTGGAGATGAGGAAGGAGAAGGAGAAGGAGAAGGATGAGAAGAAGGAGAAGGAGAAGGATGAGAAGAAGGAGAAGGAGAAGGATGAGAAGAAGGAGAAGGATGAGAAGAAGGAGAAGGATGAGAAGAAGGAGAAGGATGAAGAAGATGAGAAGAAGGAGAAGAAGGAGAAGGAGAAGGATGAGAAGAAGGAGAAGGAGAAGGATGAGAGAAGAAGGAGAAGGATGAGAAGAAGGAGAAGGATGAGAAGGAGAAGGATGAGAAGAAGGAGAAGGATGAGAAGAAGAAGGCTGAGAATAAGGAGAAGGATGAGAAGAAGGAGAAGGAGAAGGATGAGAAGGAGAAGGAGAAGGATGAGAAGAAGGAGAAGGAGAAGGATGAGAAGAAAGAGAAGGATGAGAAGGAGAAGGATGAGAAGAAGAAGGATGAGAAGAAGAAGGATGAGAAGAAGGAAAAGGATGAGAAGAAGAAGGATGAGAAGAAGGAGAAGGATGAGAAGAAGGAGAATGATGAGAAGAAGGAGAAGGATGATAAGAAGGAGAGAGGAAGAGAAGAAGGAGAAGGAGAAGGATGAGAAGAAGGAGAAGGATGAGAAGAAGGGAGAAGGATGAGAAGAAGGAGAAGGATGAGAAGAAGGAGAAGGATGAGAAGAAGGAGAAGGATGAGAAGAAGGAGAAGGAGAAGGATGAGAAGAAGGAGAAGGATGAGAAGAAGAAGGATGAGAAGAAGGATGAGAAGAAGGAGGAGAAGGAGAAGATGAGAAGGATGAGAGGAGAAGGAGAAGGAGAAGGATGAGAAGAAGGAGAAGGAGAAGAGGAGAAGGAGAAGGAGAAGGATGAGAAGAAGGAGAAGGATGAGAAGAAGAAGAAGGAGAAGGAAGAAGGAGAAGGAGAAGGATGAGAAGAAGGAGAAGGATGAGAAGAGAAGATGAGAAGAAGGATGAGAAGGATGAGAAGAAGGAGAAGGATGAGAAGAAGGAGAATGATGAGAAGAGAAGAAGAGAAGGATGAGAGAAGGAGAAGGATGAGAAGAAGGAGAAGGATGAGAAGAAGGAGAAGAGAAGATGAGAAGATGAGGAGAAGGAGAAGGATGAGAAGAAGGAGAGGATGAAGGAGAAGATGAGAAGAAGGAGAAGGATGAGAAGAAGGAGAAGGATGAAGAAGGAGAAGGAGAAGGATGAGAAGAAGGAGAAGGATGAGAAGAAGGAGAAGGAGAAGGATGAGAGAAGAAAGGATGGAGAGGAGAAGGAGAAGGATGAGAAGAAGGAGAAGGATGAGAAGGAGAAGGAGAAGGATGAGAAGAAGGAGAAGGAGAAGGATGAGAAGAAGGAGAAGGATGAGAAGAAGGAGAAGGAAGATGAGAAGGAGAAGAAGGAGAAGGAGAAGAAGATGAGAAGGAGAAGGATGAGAAGAAGGAGAAGGAGAAGGATGAGAAGAAGGAGAAGGAGAAGGATGAGAAGAAGGAGAAGGATGAGAAGAAGGATGAGCAGAAGGAGAAGGGAAGGATGAGAAGAAGGAGAAGGATGAGAAGAAGGATGAGAAGAAGGATGAGAAGAAGGAGAAGGATGAGAAGAAGGACAGTTCTGTGACAGTTTCTGTCTATTTCTGACAGTTCTGGGACATTCACTCCATACAGCGGTTTCAACCGCTGTATGGAGGGAATGTCATAGAACTGTCAGAAATAGACTATTAATGACAGTTCTGGGACTGTCCTTCCATGCAGCGGTTGAAACATTGTATGTATTTGTTTCCATAAATGGATCCATTTATGGAAACAAATACATACAATGTTTCAACCGCTGCATGGAAGGACAGTCCCAGAACTGTCATTAATAGTCTATTTCTGACAGTTCCATGACATTCCCTCCATACAGCGGTTTAAAACAGCTGTATGCAGTGAATGTCCCAGAACTGTCATAAATTGCAGATACACTTAGAGGAGCTCTGCAGATACACTTAGAGGAGCTCTGCACATACACTTTTTGCCGGCTTGGAATTATTCTTCTTTTCATCCTACTTCTTCTTCTTCTTCTTCTTCTTCTTTCTTCTTCTTCTTCTTCTTCATCCTCATCCTCATGAGGATGAGGATGAGAAGAAGAAGAAGAAGTAGGATGAAAAGAAGAATAATTCCAAGCCGGCAAAAAGTGTATGTGCAGAGTTCCTCTATTTCTGACAGTTCTCTCACAACTTCTTCACATGTACAGCGGTTGAAACATCTGTATCCTAAATGTAAACTAATAGATACAATGTTTCAACCGCTAAACATGTGTTCCTTCTGTCAGAGAACTGTCAGAAATAGCGGAGCTCACTGCAGGGACACTTTTGCCGGCTGATCGGGAAATGTTCGATTCGCGCACCCGAAGTAGGCAAAATTTCGGTTTCGACACGAAAATATTTCCTGAAATTCGACTCGAATTCCGGTTCGCCTAGTTCGATTCGCTCATCTCTATTTATAAACATCGATCAGACGGGAGATAGAGATACAAAGTAACATTGTTTATAAACATTGATCAGACGGGAGATGGAGAGATACAAAGTAACATTGTTTATAAAACATCGATCAGACGGGAGATAGAGATACAAAGTAACATTGTTTATAAACATTGATCAGACGGGAGATACTGTGTGTGTATATATATATATTGTATACAGTCCGGGGGAGGGGGGGCTCAATTCTGGGAGATGCTGTATGTATATATATACAGTTGTGTTGAAAATACTAGCAGTCAGACATCACTAACCGGATCAATCACTGTTTTTGGTGGAAATGATATTTCTATTGAGGGGCGTGTCCAATATAATAGCCGTGTGGAGTTCTATTAGTGAGGTCATTCATTCTTTGATAAACAGGTGGCAATTATTGCCCTTATTTAAGGAAGGAAGGCAGCAAATGTTGGACATGCTGGTTACAGTGCATTTCTCTCTGAAATTCTGAGGAAAATGGGTCGTTCCAGACATTGTTCAGAAGAACAGCGTACCTTGATTAAAAAGTTGACTGGAGAGGGGGAAAAACATATAAAGAAGTGCAGAAAATGATCGGTTCCTGCTCAGCTAAAATGATCACAAATGCTTTAAAATGGCAACCAAAACCTGAAAGACGCGGAAGAAAGCGAAAAACTACCATTGGAATGGATAGAAGAATAGCCAAAATGGGGCGGACTCAGCCAACAATCAGCTGCAGGAAGATGAAAGAAGGTGTGACGTTCCCTGTGAGGACTCAGCCAACAATCAGCTCCAGGAAGATGAAAGAAGGTGTGATGTTCCCTGTGAGGACTCAGCCAACAATCAGCTCCAGGAAGATGAAAGAAGGGTGTGTGACGTTCCCTGTGAGGACTCAGCCAACAATCAGCTCCAGGAAGACGAAAGAAGGTGTGACGTTCCCTGTGAGGACTCAGCCAACAATCAGCTCCAGGAAGATGAAAGAAGGTGTGTTACCTGTGGAGGACTGTTACAATTAGAAGACGCCGTATGTGAAGCCAAGCTATCTGCAAGAAGTCCCCGCAAAGTCCCACTGTTGGGAAAAAGACGTGTGCTGAAGAGGTTACAATCTGCCAAAGAGCACATTGACCGGCCTAAAGAGAAATGACGCAACATTTTGTGGGGCTGATGAAAGGAAGATTGTTCTTATTGGGTCTAGTGGGCGGAGACAGTTTGTCAGACGACCCCCCCCAAACACTGAATTCAAGCCACAGGACACGGTGAAGACCGTGAAGCATGGTGGTGCAAGCATCATGATATGGGGATGTTTCTCATACTACGGTGTTGGGGGCCTATTTATCGCATACCAGGGATCATGGATCAGTTTGAATCCATCAGAATACTTGAAGAGGTCATGCTGCCTTATGCTGAAGAGGAAATGCCCTTGAAATGGGGGTTCCAACAAGACAACGACCCCAAACACACCAGTAAACATGCAACATCTTGGTTCCAGACAACAACAAGATGGACGTTATGGAGTGGCCAGCCCAATCCCTGGATCTTCATCCAATAGAAAACTTGTGGGGTGACATCAGAAATGCCGTTTCTGAGGCCAAACCAAGAAATAGAGAAGAACTGTGGAATGTGGTCCAAATCATCCTGGGCTGGAATACCTGATCACAGGGGCCAGAAGTTGGGGGACTCCATGCAACACAGATGTACAGCAGTTCTCAGAAAACAGTGCGACTTACAACCAAATATTCATGAAGTCATTCAAAGGGAAAGCAAAATCTTCAAACATTTCTCAGTTTATATAGTGAATGTTGGAGTTTGTAAAGAAGAATACAAACACGGCCATTTTTTTGAACCGTCTAATATTCACTTTTCTTCCATTTTTTTTAGAGGAACAACACAAATTTGATGTATTTTTCTTCATGTTGTGATTTGGAATAGAATGTGTCGTGTTCCCAATGCATTTGTGTGGATGGAAATAAAAGGATTAGAAGGATTTGCAGCTTTAGTCACTTTTATCAATCTCACGGATATTATTTTCAACACAACTGTGTATATATATATATATTGTATACAGCCCGGGGGAGGGGGGGGACTCACTTCTGGGAGATACTGTGTGTGTGTGTATATATATTATATATTGCAGGAAATTCTAAC